TACGATGTGGATCCCCAAAACATCTCGCGAATTCTACCGATTGCCCAGCAAAAGGTGTTATTTGTTCAAAATGCGGTAAAAATGGTCATTTTGCAAAAGTTTGTATGTCTGCACGTGAAAAAGATTCGGTGAATACAATTGACAGTTCAAGTTCTAGTGAAGAATTAGGCACGTGCGAAACAGATCAATGTAAACAATGCACTGTAAAAACTCGTGATCAAAGTAATGTACACACTGTAAGAAATGAGTGTCAAATTCAGATGGAAGATTCAGTTACGGATCCTGTTTTCATATTTACGGTCAATACTGCTGCTAATACTAAATTATACCGTATGTTTCATATTTCTACACCTACTGGAGAATCATCTGACGTAAATATGTTGCTCGATACAGGTTCGGCAGTTACAACTTTGCCTCATAAAATTTACCAACAGCATTTCTCTACTGCCTTACTTTCTAAACCTGTTATGAATTTAACATCATATCAAGGAAATGCTATTGATGTTGTTGGGTGTATGCAAGCTGCTATTGACTTTGAGAATAAAACTGCAAATGCGACTGTATTTATTACATACGGTGATACCGCTCTTATTGGTATGGACGTAATAAAGAAATTGGGTCTTGTGATTTCTTCAAACTCTGTACGTGTCAATACAGTAGTGGACTCATTTGTACATAAAGTTATGGTTGATACTAATGCTAAACCAGTGCTACAAAAGTTGCGCCGTTTACCACTAGCTGTACGTGATAGTGTTAAATCTGAACTGGAACACTTGGAAAAATTGGGTGTTATTGAAAAATGTGATGCTTCACCCTGGGTTTTAATATTTTAGTCGTAAAAAAGAAAACCGACATTCGTTTGTGTTTAGATTGCAGAGAACCAAATAAAGCGATTGTTGTAGACCAACATCCACTACCTCATATTGATGAACTTTTATCTGACTTTAAGGATGCTACTGTTTTCAGTGTTATTGACTTGCAAGAGACCTATCATCAGATACCACTTCATGAGTCCAGTCGTAATCTAACCTGCTTCATAACACACGAAGGAATGTATCGTTTTTGTCGTATTCCTTTCGGACTTGCCTCTGCACCTGCTTTTTTCCAAAGGATGATGTCAACAATTTTAGGTGACTTGCCAGGTATAAAATGTATTCTGGACGATATTGCTATTTTCGGTGGTAATATGGAGGAACACGATCAACGATTGAGTGCTGTACTCCATAGAATAAATCAACATAAGTTACAATTAAATCTGAATAAGTGTAGATTGCGACAATCCAGTATAAACTTTTCAGGACATACTATTTCAGCTTCTGGAATATCACCTAGATCAGAACTAGTAACAGCTATTATTTCAGCACCAACACCGACTGATGCTACAGCTGTTCGCTCTTTTATTGGTACAGCTACTTACTACTCTAGGTTTGTTCCTAATTTCAGTACAATAACAGAACCCTTACGTCGGTTAACCAGGAATTCTACAAAATTCCTGTGGGATAATTCAGCTGAAAAGAGTTTTACAAAACTTAAAGGTCTTATTGCTGCCAGTCCAATCCTTGCTTCGTATGACTCTACATTACCTACTTACATCTCTACTGATGCTTCGAATTACGGTTTAGGAGCAGTTCTTACTCAACTTCATCCGGAATTTGGTGAACGTACTGTTGCTTTCGCATCTCGCACTCTAGGTGATTGTGAACGACGTTATTCGACGATTGAAAAAGAAGCCCTAGCTTCTGTTTGGGGAATAGAAAAGTGGCGTTTATTCTTATGGGGTCGTAAGTTTGTTTTATACACTGACCACCAGCCCTTAAAGACTATCTTTACTTCGAAAGGTCTTGGTCGTTCAAGTATGCGACTTTCCAGATGGGCCGCTCGCCTAATGGTGTATACTTTTGATGTAGAATACAAAAAAGGTAAAGACAACGTTGTTGCAGATTGTATGTCTCGCCTACCCTTACCTCACTCTGATTCGAAAGAAGAAGATTTTGACTCGGAAATGATTGCCATCATAGATAGTCAATTACAAGCCATTTCCGTTGCTGAACTACAAGCTGCAAGTGGACGGCCTGAGTTGTTTGGAAAAGTTCGTCAACAAATCGCAGACAATTGGCCGAATAAGAAAATTCTTCCTTCGGAACTTTTGCCGTTCTACAACGTTCGTAATGAACTAGCCTGCAAGGACAACTTGATTTTTCGACAAAATCGACTTGCTGTGCCAGCATCTTTACAACCACGCTTGATTGAACTTGCCCACGAGAGTCATCACGGCATTGTCCGCACTTAACAGCGTCTACGTTTGCAGTATTGGTGGCCTTGTATGGATAACGCAGTAGAACTTGCAATAAAATCATGTGTTACGTGTCAGTCGCACGACAAGACAGCTACTACACATACTGCACCTATGCAACCTATACCGTTTCCTAAAGAACTTTGGGATCGTGTATCTATTGATATTGTTGGACCATTTCAAAGTGCTTCAATGCAAAATCGCTATGCTGTGACTTTGATAGATCATTATTCAAAGTGGCCGGAAGTTAGTTTTATGCCTAACATAACTACTGAAAATGTGCTTGAGTTTCTAGAAACAATTTTTTCAAGAGAAGGTTATCCTAATCATTTCCTTAGTGATAATGGTGTTCAATTCGTATCTCAAGACTTCGAAGATTATTTGAAACAACGTAATATTATTCATTTACTATCATCTAACTATTATCCGCTATGTAATGGTGCACTCGAACGTTTCCACAGATGTCTCAAAGATACTGTTATATCTGCCGTTATTGAACAGAAACCTTGGAAATCTGCTGTTCGAAATTTCTTGTTTATATATCGTGCTACGTCCCATGCTACTACTGGTATCGCTCCATCAGATCTAATGCATGGTCGTGAAATGAAAACCTTATTACATATTCTTCAACCTGCTAATTTATGTGATTCAAGTGATAAAACCGTACGTGAACGTGTTAAACATAAGCAAAGTGCTATGAAAACGTATTCTGATTCTCATCGTGCTTGTAAGAGTTCGAAAATTGCTTCGGATGACTATGTTCGTATCCGTAAACCTATAAAACCTCTAAAAGGAAATCCTGGATATACACAACCACTCAAAGTTATCAAGAAAGTTAGTGATAATACATAAAAGTTAAGTGATGAAAACATTTGGAATTCTAAGCATTTATCTTTGTGTAATGTGCCAAGTAAAAGTGATACTAGTCATAATAATACTAGTTCAAATTGTGCATCTAATAGTGCTATTATTCGCAAATCTAATCGAGTGTCAACACATACCAAGGATAAAGACTTCGTTTACTATTGATGTTTACAATTTGCATGCTATTGATTTCAATGTTAACTTTGCAAAGGTTATGCATTTCAGTTTAAGTTATTTCTCTTGCAATTGCTACATTGTATTTCGTTATTTTCCTTATAGATTGAGCATCAATCTTCGGGAGGGGGGATATGTTATATTGCTTATTAATCTCACTCGTATACTTAATTGGAGTTGCTTTTCCTTTATGGACTATGTTTTTCTATGATGCGTATGAATACAAGAAAGCAGTACACACATGTATGTAACCGCCAGGATGTCTGAATTTGATGATTAAAGTTTATTTGTTTATATTCGATTCTTCCTGTCCTGCTTATGCTACGCTTGGCCGCCCTTACGATACAACAATAAGCATGGCAGTTTTGTAAGTAGTGTACTTTGGTCAATCTTAAATGTCATACCAACATTTGGTTGGTATTGGCCCCAAGATAATAGTACCAAAGTATATTGATGAAAACCATTGAGTTTAGTACTATAGAGAGTGAACACAAATAAAACCATACGATGTAACCTTTGTTTAACTGAAAAGCTTTCCATCATTAATGCCCCTAAACACAGTCTAAATGTCTCGAAATGCAGACATGACATGTTGCCAACATCTGAACTGTCGTGATTCACTTAAGACTTCGAGAGGCCTGAAAACTGAAATTGTCCAACGACTGACAAGTTTTATTTATCTTTTTATCCGCATTGGAGGCGCCAGTGGGGGTATATCGTCTGGAATCGCCACAGTTTATCCACGACAGTGACCACGATCACATCTCAATTCATCTCCGTACACGACCACATTTTCTAATAGGTGAATCCTCGGAAACGAATACAGGGAAACAAGGTCCCAATTCGGATTTAGTGACGCTATAGTCGTTATATCTCGGAGTATATCTAGGTAACTTGTCCATTATTGTCTTTTCTTTTCGTCGAGCAAATTCGTCATATTCCGACGTATCGACAACGCAAGAGTCTATTCGAGACAACAGGCTCTGATAAGTTGGTCCTGTCATGGAACATAGCGACGTTCTATCAAAACCATATCGCACGAGAAACTCTGCTAGAGTTTGAGTCCATTTCACATTAGACGATGATCCAGACAACTTGTATAGTATCAACGGAGAATCAATTCGGGTTCCTACGGATGATGAAGACAATGTACTGCTACTTGATGATGAAGCAACTCGAGGACGTCTCATTTTTGACTGCTTTGCTTTGTATGATTTGGTCGCCATATTGGATTGCTTATCATCGGCTTGTAGTTCTAGTTTCGTCCAACTGTAAGATTGTTTTATTTTATAGTCTGTTAACGTATGTGACAGACGTTTATATTTCTTACTCCAGTACCTTATGTTATTTAATGCACCAGGTTTTTCCATTTCATTATCTAATGAGTTATTTCCCTTTGTTAGAATGAATTCATTCGACTGAATTCGGAATGGTGCTGCTACATTCAACTCTTTACGAACCAGTTGTCGTTTTCCTAAATCTGGTAATGTATTATTAGAATTTGATACGAAACCTCGATGCCTTTTCTGAAAATAGAAACGATACAATTTTTTTTCTTTGTATCAAACTGTTCATACATTGTCATTGGGTCCGTTCGCCCTCGGTCCGTACAACTGAGTCCGTTCGCACTTTGGTCAGTGTCCTCTTACAAATTATAAAAGGTATATTAAATAAACTATAACGGTGCAATGCAATTAAATTATTTCTTTCACAATTATTATTGTGACCAATGACATTGGTTCTTAAAGGGACTAAACCGTACGGAATTTTCAACTGCTATATACTTGAACTCTATAAATTTCAATCTGCGGAACAAATATCGATTCTTGCATTAACATCAATCGTTAATTGTCATTGCTGCATTAACAGCAATTGTTAATTGTCATTGCTGCATTAACAGAAATCGCTAATCGTCATTGTCTTAAAGCACAAAGTGATTTAGCTATCAACAGAGCTCGCGCTTTTTATGTTGGAGCAGTACGAAGTGTCTGTTTGATGCTCTATATGGAAATAGAAACGATCAACTTGATAACCTACCTGAAAGGAGTTCAGATGATCTCTATATCGTAAATATCTATCATTTGGGGTATCTATTAATACAGAAGAGGGTAAAGTAGGTAGTTTTATTTCGCTTTCGTCTATATTTAGCTTCTTCATTCTCTACTAATGTGATGCATTTCATACGACAGTGGATTCTTTAGTTCCTGAAAAAGCCAATTGAGCAATATAGTTATATAACATAATAGGCTTCCATTTCGAACTATAATTCTGAATCACAAATGGATAAAAAAAAGACAAAAAGGCAAAATGTAAAAAAAAAATGGGGCCATTTATAAATATGGCCCTATATCCGTTGCTCTTACGTGATACGGATGAGATATCGGTACGTTCAGGGCCAGACATACTATACCGTGTATATTACATCCAATAATTCACATGAGATTTCTGGAAAAAGTTATGAAAGATGACAATTGATTTAGTAGTCCGAAACATCTGCCTCTGATAGCTATTTTGACAGTGTCGGTTGCAACTTTCACAATAGCTATTAGATGCTTTAATATGAGGCGGATGTTTCGGATTATTTATTGTGTTATTATTGTGTACTTACAACTTTTATAATGACCGTGAACGCTACATGAATACTGTAGAAAACTTTGAAGGTGTGGATGAATTAACCTCTGTCTGTCTGTTGTATTTCCATCTTGCTGTTTTCAATTACCAGAACGTGGTAACATGTTAGTCCTACTTCGATCTTCCTTGTGCAAAGTGGGACATACATTTAAAGGGACAGATTTTCTGCGGTTGATTAGGATTTCGCATATTTGTAAATAGTGTAGAGCCTTACTTAAATCGCATAATTCCTCAAAAATTCCTCAAAATAGGATTTCTATTTCTATGTAATATGTCTTTTTCCGTATGTTAATGGCGGAAAATTCTGGACACACATGGATTTGAAGACTCAAATTTCGACGGTGAGCTGTGATCACTACTACTGATGGACTTAGCTAAATAATTTCCGTTTCTGAGCCTAATGTACGACTGGTCAAATGGATGGCGAATCTGTCCCTTTATTGAAATTTCAAAGAGGTCTTATTGGTTTTGAAACTGTTTGAAGAATACTGTCTTATAGATTCTATTTGCACCATTCACATTTCACACCTGTCGCTGGTTTCTGTATTTAGAGTAAATAACTGATTGTTCCTACATAAAAATAACAGACACGAACTTAGTTGACCGACATTTATATCACTACGCCAGACAAAATCAGTTTAAGAAAGCTAAAAAAAAAACCATTTCAACTACTCGTTGCGCTTTCCATGGCGTTGCCCGTCTTCATCAGCTCAATTAGTTGCAGAAATGTAGACCTTGAAAAACTTCTTGAATAATGATAAAAATAAATTGAGACACTACTTTCGTTTTCTGAGAAAGTTTCCTGTTTCCTGCTTATAACAGTAGTTCGGTCTAAACCACGTCCCTAACATGGCGGTCATCCATCTGGTTATGTTAACTTAGACGATTTTTTTCTCCATTTCCCATACATAAATAAGGTTTGAACAATGAATATAAGGCATAAAATTAAGTAGGTTTCATTTTTAAACATTCCGTTATTTTTAATTTGCTGGCAAACCGGACGCTATATTTTCATTTTGAAAAGCGTAACGGGTAGTTGAGTAAGTATTGGTAGGTAGCATAAAGTTATATAATTATATACATCTATAGTGGGTAGTAAGTAGTAGAATTGTGTTCTTTAATCTAGTTATCGATATCCATTGGCGTGAAGTAATTGGTTGATATGTGATCTGTAAGCTAGACACGAAGATTGTTTTATATAGTGAGCTATAATAGGCTGTCTAATCGATTAGTATTGTCTTGTCCTAATCCTATTCTTATTCGCCGTGTTTTGTCAGGTGTCCGCGTCTTACATTTACGTCATAGGCAAGGTGATATGATGAGCCTTTTTTGTCTTTAAATCCTTAAATAAATCTTACATAAAAAGAAAATTTGCGAGGTAGTTGAGTACACAAGGTTAACAAGCTCTCTTGAATAATAAAAACTAGTTACATGAACAAGAGCAGAATCTGTGGTTATTGGTTGGTAGATGACAGAGGATGCTGATATCACAAACTATAGGTAGTTGTTGTTAGTCGTAGTAGTCGTAGTAGGTGATTGGATTGGTTGAATTAGTTGATTCTGTGTTGTAGGTTTGGTAGTTGATATTTCGGCTGTGCACGATAAAGATCCCTCGACAGTTGAAAATCGAGAAAGAGCAGGCTTATGCCGCTGTCTGGGTAAAAGTTTCCTCATTTAACCTGTGTGGCGCTTCCTGTCTTCATTAGAACGTAAAACCCAATTCATTTCATTTCTTTGTTCTTCGAAGCCCGTTGTGATCGTGGTTATTCTTGTTGATTGGTATATTCGAATGGTAGTCGTTGGTTTTCTTTGGTTGTCCATTAGAACATCTTTATAGTAACTGCTATGGTAGTTAAGTGGACAAAATAAGGTTCAAGTACTGATATATAAATATTTATAATAAAGCACAGCCGGATTAGAACACAATCTTTGGGCAAATATTAAATATTATGCATATCTTGTGGTATTTATAATGAAGACTGTTCAAGTTAAAGGGACAAGTTCACCAGTTTTTTGACCAATCGTACCTAAGTCCCAGAAACGGGAAATAATGTTCACAGCTCACCGTCGAAATCTGAGCCTTCAATTCCATGTGTGTCCAGAATTATCCGCGTTTTGAAATTTAAAATAACGACTCGTCATTTCTAGAGGCTGCCAAATATAGAAAAGACATATATACAAATAGAGAGCTGAATTCCGAGATTGAGGAATTGTTGAAGGAATTACCTGATTTTCGTACATTTCAAGTACTTCTGAGTACTATATAGATATATTAAAGACCCAAATCAACCCCCGAAAATGGTTATGTCCCTTTAAGTTGCAGTCCTTTGCACATACTTACTGTGAATGGTTCAAGACCCCGGGTGAAGTTACAAAATCCGAAATAGGCAATACTAATATCAACTTGCTGGTATTACTTACTTTATTGTTCATCATGACATTTCTTTATTTCTCTCACCACGTTGAGTTATCCCTGGAACCAATCACCATGCGACACAAGGAAATCAGAAGACGAGCATTCATTTAGTACGTATTATGCCTTATCGGTATCAACCTAAAAACCTTTACCATGTTGACGAATAACATCAAATTGCGGCACAATCACTAGAGGTCACTACTAGTTCCCTAGACACTTTCACGCGTTTAATTAGATGCATTCCTATAACCACTTCAAATTCTTAAAATATAGCCATGTCCATTTAAATCAGCGCTGGTATTTTAAAATTGTAGACGCCCGGACAAATACAAAAATCTTCTTTTTAACCGTGTATATGAAATGAAAATTTGCCATCACAATGTTTAAACAAAATGGTCGTCTTCAACTTTGAAATTTACAAGTCAGGTAGTATAATTGTCCAGTTGTTTTGAAGTTGTTGTTATATTTACTGCCCGAGTTAATAAGTAACATATTTGTCAATATGCGGTAGAGTATTTCAAGTGTAGTATCTGTCTATAAAGGATTGTTATAGAAGGTTAAGTCAATAAAATTCAATATACTTGACAATTTAATAACCTTCCTTTAACAAATGGCTTAAAGTGGCACAATGAGAATGACTGAGAAATTGCCATTCTGATATGTAAGTATAGGGACTGTTTGATGGTAAAAGAATAGTAAGTGCCAGATAACCACACCATATAAAAGACCTGCTTGCACGGATTTTTTATAATAGTTAAAACTTATTATTTCAGTGAAAGAATGTGGACAGAAAGATGCAACTTTATAGCCATTTGAACCCCTCAAAAAGGCCTTAACAAAATGGTATAACTTGCTAGAATGCCCTGTTTTCGGAACAGGGTCGATACATGTGCCTACAAAGACTCAAACTAGGATAAAAATAATTCAGAAGAACTGTTATATTACACTTATTTCAACTTTCAAATATATACGAGAGTTGAAATAAATGGAAAGAGCTAACCGGTAAATCGTGAAAATCTAGCGTTTGGTCTGCAACTGTTCAACATGATGACGTGAACCGCCGAGACTTGTGTGGAATGAAGAAAAATATATTTCTTTAAATATTGGTCTTTAATATGATAGTGTGTTATAGCAGTTCTATAGTTATTTGATACTGTATATATCAGTTTAGTTATAGGATATTTGTCACGCTCTGTATATCGGTTAATTAGTTGAATGACCAACTAATTATTTGTTGGTAAACTTTACCAAATTCGAGCTCCACAAGTAGTGGCGGCTCCCAAGGGCCAGACCAAGAAGTTAGAATTCGAAGACATTGTCCTAATAACTGAATTATTTTAATTAATTTTTCCCATCATTAAAACGGATGTGGATTCACAACCAATCAGATTCAATAGTCACTGTAGCCTCGATCAATTACAAAGATATCAATCAACCTGTCCAGACGCTCTTTCGTCGAATCTGTATGTAGAGAAAGAGGGGTTGGACAAAAGAGTCGATGATTTATCAGTTTCGTTTAAAAAAAACCTTGATGGAACCGCAGACTTGACACAAGCAGGGGGATTATGATGGTAGGACTGAATTACAAAAAAATATCCAGCTTTCCAAATATATCTTGGTTTGGCGGATCCGATTTAAATACATGTATAGGTTTATAACTCACCCACCTTCAGATGTGCGGAAAATGCTCACACTAAACAGGGCCCAGTTTTTCTGTCTCTACACCCGTCGACAACTTTCAAAGGAGCTATCAGAGGCAGAATAAAGGCAGAAATTTATCAAATTATGATATATAACACCAGGACTCTTGATAAAGCTTGATAAATAATATAAAGGAGATGATATAATGCGTAACTGTAATGAGACTGTTTCTAATTATCTATCAATAAAGTGGTCATACATCTTCTCTATCACGCTGGTTACCATGACAGACGGAAACTGTTGAATTAGTTTCTTTTCTAGTCGTCTTATTACTTGGATCATTCATTTCAAACACGCGTGGGTAATGAATTACAAACGTATAATGCCCATGTCGAGGTTGATATGATAGAAAGCCATAACTACCATTTGTGAAATATTTGAACATGTAGACCTACCATCCCACCGGCATCGTTCATTCGGGGCCTGATTGCTCAGGAGAGCAAATATTATGTCCATAAGGACAATCTTGTATGATGTTTAGTTGCAGTAATGGAATTGGTCAGTTGTCACAACTTTTGCAGGGGGGCGAGGGAAATGTTTGTGGTGGGGCATCCTTGCTCCCCCTCTCTTGCCCCCTGTAGCTACGGGTTTGGTTCATTCCTATATCTGACCCTTCTGTGCATCCAAAAAGATTACTGGTGTATATGTATAATAACTTCAGCTGTTATTTGTCCCATACTTATTTCCCCTGCGCTTTGTGATATAATCCAGTCAGGTGTTGCTAGAACTAAAATCATAGACATAAGGCGGGGAGTTAGAATGGTACTGCCAGATGTGTACATTATACATATACACTGGGTAGAAAATATCTCTTTTTTTTAACGTGTATTAGAATGTGCAGTTGAAAATTAGCCTTTAAATGTTTACCAGGCAAAATAAACCGATAGTGTGCATAATGTACAGGAACCCCTTCATTAAAGTTTACGTCATGTTTTTTTGGGAGCAGATTAGTTTTGAATTAAAAAAAATACATTTCAAATTAAACATTTGATTTATTAATAATTGTTATTGTATGAGTTGGCACCACAAGGTGGACCAACCTCATCTGCGGGTTTACAGACTCCGTCAAATTCATCAAACAGCGAATCTGAAATTAAATGAACAAATTGAAATACAAAAATAAGGACAAGCTCGCCATTCAAGAAAACACCTGATACTGGGATTGGGTGTGTCGACTCGTCATTGTTTCCGAATTGTCTTCATAGCTAATATATCATAATATAAATAATAAACAACCGAGGTGACGACGGACCTTCATTTTCCTTAGTACTAGTAGAAGTAAGTTATTATTTGAATGTATTGTCGCATTTTCATTTCGGAAGGGTGACACAGATAAGTGGTTTAAATTTCCTTTGACGACTGTGTATTGAGTTAATTTAAAACTATTGGACCCTAAACACTTATTATATATAACGATCTTTAAAATGTTTTAAAGTTTACATTAATTGTCAATGGTCTCAGTTTGCTTGACCTTACCTCCAGGACACCACTGATGACCGGCAAAATGACCATATAGACAAGTGTAGAAAGATGAACAAGGAGGATGCTGGCTATCACTTTGTTGTTCAGCATAGGCATAGACAGCATCATCTAATAGCTGGCATTGTCGTGTATGATCTTGATTACATGGAAACTCGGCTCGAGACAAACTGAAACGAGAAGAAAATTGAGGCAAAGCCCCACTTTTTAAACGACAACCAAACTTTAGAGGTGTCTTTTTTAATAACTTATCTTAAATCCACCATGTCTCCATTTGTGCTACGTCCTCGTACTTTAAATACAAAATTTTCTGAACATTTCAACAACCTGCGACTTATCGACCATTGTTTTGCTTATCGGTTTGGAACTTTTACACCCACGACAGACAAGCTAATTATAGTATAGTTATAATGGTAATACAGTATCCAGAATCTGCACAATATTACCTGACACAGCCGAGAGTTCTTGAACTAAAGGCTTCTCCATCTTTACAGTCATATTGATAATGGATGTTGTTTCGACATTCACCATATGATCGACATGCCCACCAAGCAATACCATTTCCTATGGAGCTACAGTTAAAACCCTTATAACCGTTACCAGAATTCATTCTATATTGGCCCTCACAGATACCTAAAATACCAAAATATTTATAACATAATTCCATTGACTTTTGGTTTTTTAATGTACATCCGATATTGTTACAATATGCATATGGTTGAATCACCGTGATGATGTATACTGACTCACTCATCGTGATATTGATATAGACAGTACTCATCGTGCTATTGATAGGCAATAATCATCATGATATTGATAGATAGTACTCATCATGATATAGATAGGCAATAATTATATTGGTAGATAGTAGTCATTTTGATATCGGTAGACAATACTCGTCATGATATTGATAGACAGCATGCATGTATTATTGATAGACAATATTCATCATGGTATTGACAAGCAACTCTAATCATCATTTTGCTAGGCAATTCTTGTAGTAAAATTGACAGACAGTCATCATCATCATGATATGTATAGATTGTATTTTTGATAGACAACATTCATTACAATATTGCCTGCAGAACTCATCGTGATATAGACAGGCCACGTTCATTATCTTATTGATATTGATAGGCAATATTCATAGTAATGTTGTTAGACAATACTCATCGTGATATTGCTATGCAATACTCAATATATCAATATATTATGATAGACAGTTCTCGTCACGATTATGGTAGAAAGTAGTTGCCGACTCGTCGTTATATTGATATTCATAAGTCGTCACGATTATGGTAGACAGAACTTAAAGAATCATTGTGATATTGATAGAAGCAAGAAAAAGAAAATAAACAATATGCAATCAATACCTTTTGATCATTTCATTTTAATACATGGCATTATAAAGGCTATTATTAATAGGTTAGAACCTACAAGGCAACTGTCGGTTTAAATTAGACACGATAATGGATGTTTTCTAATGGATCAGCAAATCAATAGACTATTTACAGTTACACCAGAAGCGTTATAGCATTTGCATCTATTATGTGCTTAAATTTCCCCGCTTCTGAAATCCTAAATTTGTACGCCAGACTTTTATCCTGCCCAAAGCGTTACTATAGACGAAATGGTTGGCCCTGTGCTGGTGCTGTGTTGTTGCTGCGCTCGTGCTGACTGTTTACCGATCTCAATATCGATTTTGACGGTTCTGTCAACTGTCAATAATTAACACAGACGGACGTATGAGCGTCCTTGTTCTTTGGTATGGTAGTGTTGTATTCAGGATCAAAACAGAGAATTATTTCAAAATCTTACCTGTCAATGCTACAACTGCGACCAACCAAAACATTTTGATTCTTAAGAGATGTTGAGATCTTCACTCTTCTCTGAACAAATGGAAAGTTTGAAGTTGAACCAGTCTTAACTACGACAATTTTGTCTTTAAACTTTGACTTTTCCAAGAACACACCCCAAATACCTTTTTTTCTTAGATTAAACGATTAAAGTATTGAGAAGAAAAAAAAATTAGCTATAGGTTAAACGGTTCAAGGTAACATGGACTATGATCTTTAACTACGTTTTGTGTGAATATTAAAGAGAAACAGCTCTTGCACCAATGTGATCCATGCGAATTTGTGTTTTATACAGTAGCTTTTACTTCACCATTTGGTCGTATAAACGCCGCTGTAGCGTAAGACCGCAGCACGCCTCAGCAAGTGACGTCTTCTAGTGCGTCCACACTAACAGCAAGAGTCAGGCTCGCTCGGACAATGAACCAGTTTTCTTTAACAATTAAAGCTCTCTGAAGTCAAGAAACTTTAGAAGTACTAATTCAGCGATACTTATAAAAACTGAATTCTGATTGTGAACGAATTATAAATGATATTATGGTCAGTGGTACGCAATGAAAGCGATGCTGGTTGAGCTAGCAATATAAAATACTATACGTATGTACGCTCAAACAGAGAAACTCTCTTTATCCATGAGCTCCATGAGCGTTTACATCCGTTCTTAAGATAACATAACACAAATTAGAAAACAAATAATTTTAATACATTGATTCTTTTTTTCCACTTCAATATACATAAAAAAAACACAAAAAACTGTAGCTATGCTCCAAGCAAACATCATCCACCTTTTCACGAGTGTTCAGCTGCAGAATCCCGAAAATGTTACTTCATTCTAAAGAAGTCATAAAGAAACGTCATGTCACGTTAAGATGATGGTATTTTTGTTTTTGGATTAGTTTAGTGAATGATATCACGATATGACCTTTTGTATAAGATGCAGAATTAAAATACTTTAACTGTTGATGGTTTAACAATGCGATGTCACTACACGGATTGCACTTTGGAGAGGTTTTGAGGATGTATAATGAAGCAAGGCAGTTTGCTTTAAAGAAACCCATGTGGATACCAAGTTAAACGCTAACATACCTTATGAGGTCATAATACTGACATAAATTTGGGATAACTTTAAAGATATTTAACACAATTCTACCAACATATCGGAACAAAATTCAAACGAGAGGAAATCCCACACAAATGCTAACAAAATAGTAAAATATGGCGTCCGAAGCCGATATTGACGGAGAGTCCGTTAAGAACAAATTTCAGAGAATAGATGACAGAATTACTTAACCTACCGGACTTGTAATGGGACTTGTATTGGGTGAAGTAATTGGACTGGTAATGGGTGAAGTTATTGGACTAGTAATAGGTGATGTAATTGGACTGGTAATGGGTGAAGTAATTGGACTGGTAATGGGTGAAGTAATTGGACTAGTAGTTGGTGAAGTGATTGGACTAGTATTGGGTGAAGTAATTGGACTAGTATTAGGTGAAGTTATTGGACTGGTAACGGGTGAAGTAATTGGACTAGTATTGGGTGAAGTAATTGGACTGGTAATGGGTGAAGTAATTGGACTAGTAGTTGGTGAAGTGATTGGACTAGTAATGGGTGAAGTAATTGGACTGGTAGTGGGTGAAGTAATTGGACTAGTAATGGGTGAAGTAACTGGACTAGTATTTGGTGAAGTAATTGGACTGGTAACTGGTGAAGTAATTGGACTAGTAATAGGTGAAGTAATTGGACTAGTAATAGGTGAAGTAATTGGACTGGTAATGGGTGAAGTAATTGGACTAGTAGTTGGTGAAGTGATTGGACTAGTAATGGGTGAAGTAATTGGACTGGTAGTGGGTGAAGTAACCGGACTAGTATTGGGTGAAGTAATTGGACTGGTAACGGGTGAAGTAATTGGACTAGTAATAGGTGAAGTAGTTGGACTGGTAGTAGGCGATGTTATCGGACTAGTAATAGGTGAAGTTGTTGGACTTGTAATAGGTGAAGTAACTGGGCTGGTAGTAGGTGATGTCGTCGGACTAGTAATAGGTGACGTAATTGGACTGGTAGTAGGCGATGTTATGGGACTAGTAATAGGTGATGTTGTCGGACTAGTAATAGGTGAAGTAATTGGACTGGTAGTAGGCGATGTTGTCGGACTAGTAATAGGCGACGTAATTGGACTGGTAGT